AAATCAAAACTTGGATAACTGTAGCGATCATTTTCGGAAAACAAAAGTTTGCTCCAATACACAAGTTCACGTTTTTTAAGAATGAAGCAAATCTTGGCATGGGGATATAACTTAGCAAAGTGTTTTCCACATATGCGTGAGGACCCGAGTTTAGTCCTGGCACTCACATAAAAATCTGGGTATATGGTCATAATCCCAGCATTGAGAATTAGAGACAGAAAATCCTCGGTGGCTCACTGGTTAGCCACTCAACCCAGCCAGTGAAAGATCCCATCTCAAAACATAAGGTGGGTAGTCCTGAGGTATGGTAACTAAGGTTGTTATTTATCCTCTATATGGACTTGCATACACATGTATCTGTGTACACACAAACAGCTGTGCACAACAATTGCAGACACATACACACATACATATGCACCCAAAGACAATAAGGCAAATCTTCAGAAACTAGACTCTTGATCATATGGTCATGTCATCTTCACAGCTCTAACCCTGTTTAGTCTTCTTAGCTCATTGATGAGGAAGTCAGATGAGGTCTAAATCATCTGGCATGTGGCTTTCTTAGGATCATACAGTTTAGTAGTAGTTAAGACGTTTCTAAAACCTCTATAAACTGTTCCCATGTCTTTGACTTTGTCAACTCACCAGTGGCCGCCATGATTCTCAGCTGTTTAGCAGGTGTGCTTCACCGGGGTCCTATGGCTGCAGGGGCTCCCATACATGGCCAAGGCCGGAATGCCAAGAGGACAATGTGGTTGCATAGGAGCTGACATGATGGGATTATAGTCTAGTCTGATTAACGGCTTCTGTCTTCAAGTCTAATTCTCCTTCCTTCGGGGAACAGTTTTGTTCTGTATGTCAGCTCAGCCGGCCCAAGAACCTGACCCTCACTTTGATTCTCTAGGTAGAAAGAAAATGGAACGGAGTGAAATAGGTGGTTGTGTTTACATATTCAGTAGGTTCTACTATGTGCCAGACCTTGCACCAGGCACTTGTAGGAATGTTAGAGCTGATATCAAAGCAGGGAGATTTTAGACGCTCCCCTCTATGCACAAAAAAATTAAACTGAAAATCAATTCTAGTATACCTAAAAGATTTTTGTAAGTGTTTCCACTTTCTCCTTGGCAACATTCTCCTTTAAGTCTGACTTTGTAATTTAAATCAAATCTACATTATCTGGTAGAGATGGTTTATTCAGAAGGTACAGTTAATATTGGTGCAATTGAATTGACCAGAAACTATCTCTTGAGGGTTTGGAAAGTACATGGTACCTTTCGCACCAGATCTTTGTCTATCCAGAAATAAAGCCTTGTATTTTATTACATGCAATCATTATGTGAAAAAATAATGCACAAATTATCAGTGTATATTATGCCAATGTATTTTCTTTGTTCAGTTCAGTTTAAGGACAGAATCCCAGCGAGTCTTGAAGTGTACAGGATGTACTGGACTGACAAGCTCTCTGGTTGAATCATTTCTCTGTTGTCTTCTAGAAGACCGCTTGCTACCACCTTTGGACTGACTTGTAACTTGAACTTGCTTTTTTAGAGCTGTGAGAGTCTGTCCTTTCTCGATCTTGACAGCGGCTGCACAGGCTGAGTCCTTAAATGTGCCAGATTGCATGCACAAAGCTAGTCAGTCAGGCAGCTTTGCATTTACCTTAATTTCTCTCTGCTCCCTGAAGATTAAAGTTAGTTTCTTGATTAATGATGCTGTGATCTCCTTACGACCTTTGGGTTCATTGGCAACTTCCCTGTTTGAAAAGTTGGAGGAGTTAGAAATATAAAAATCCCATCAGGATTACTATGTCAAAGAGGTTTTGTGAACTCTTAGAAGCAAGTGATGATGATTCTCCCCAAATAATTGCTAGTTATTATGTATGCCTTGAGATAATTTCACCATTGATGAACACTGGCAATCTTGTCTTCTGCTCTCTTCTATGGACTGTGTTTGGTCCAGTGCTGTGGATTTGGTACCCTTAGTACATACTTTGTCTGTCCAATGCATTTACCAAACATGGTACCATTTGATCTTCACTTGTCTTACATGGAAAGTATTCATGGTTTGTATGGTCTTCAGGTGGAAAAAGTCTATTCTGTGACTTATACTGGCACAGCCCAGTACTTCACCCACCTGGGTTACCTTTTCGTTACCTGTATGTATTTGATTTTGGAGTTTGCATTCTAGTCTCTTGAGCCCAGTGATCTTTGGCCTGGAGTCCTAACTTAATTATTACTATGGGATGTTAGACCAGTTACTTAACCTTTCCAGGCACCTGTTTTCTTGTGTCTAGGATGGAGTTATGAATAACACCTAATTCCTCATGTTGTTTTGCAGGTTATATGTAGTAACCTGTATAAAAATGCTTAGCTTAGTGTCTGGCCCATAACGCCACAATCAGGCATTATTTACCACATTTCCAGTTAACCACTGTTTACTCAGAAAGTGCTGTTCATCAATCTGAACAGGAAATAGCTTAAATCATGAACAAGACCATTGGTATCACTGTCCACTGATGCATAATTGGGTTGTAATGAGCAACAGGGTGGCTCAGACATTAGACTAAGATGATTCTAGTGAACCTCTGAAAGAATGGAAGCCACAGGCATATTTAACCTCTTTGTTTCCTTCTGTTTCTTCATTCAAAAAGTGAGACATGATATTGTAGTAGCTTCATAGTATTTTTGCGGGGGGATTATGGGAGTTAATGAAAAAAGAAAAACATTTAAGAAATCACTTTGACAGTCTCACAAAGACAAGTTCATGTTTCTCTGATATGTGAAATGTGGAGAACAAAGAAATAAAAGTGAATGGAAGACTATTGGGAATGGAAAAGAGAGACTGGAAGGAGGAATTAGCAAGGATAATAGAACCCATAGATTCAAGCACTGCTCCAACCTCAGCAGACATTTTCTAAGTATAGTGGACACTGGTCAATGCAGAAACTCATAAATGGTCAAAGAACAAAGAAGTGTCTGTGGACTGCTCGGCCACAAATGGGAAACATATACCACACCCTGCCCTCTAAGATCCAGGGACCACTGTGGAAGAGGGGACAGAATGATTGCAAGAGTCAGGGGTCTGGGAGAATTGGTGTGAAAAAATGTGTCTGGACACTACAGGACCTCTGTACACCTCAACTCAGCAGCTATTTCAGCCAGCAGGGGACCAAGCCAGTCGATATTCCAGTATGGACAAAAGGCAGGTTCATGAGTCCCTAACTCTCCTGTAGCTGAGGAGCTACTGACAATTGCTGACTTCTGACAGAAGGAAGGTTAGTTTTCTTTAAGGGTATGGCCTCTGGTAGGTTGACCAGGATCCAAGAGATGATCCTATACCTCTAAGTGTATGGGCAGTGCAAATTAGAGTCAATGGCTTACTTTGGGTGAATTTAGGAGGATTTAGGTGGAAGAATGATTAATAAATTTATTAATAAAAGATTTAAAATTAGGGCAATCAAAGAGTTTAATTTGATCAAAGTATACCACATATATGGAAATGTCAAAATGGATTACTTTATATAAGTTGTATATACACAAAGAGCAGTACTTGGCACATGCTGTGTACTTTACAGACCTTACCTGCAGTTACAAACAATGAGTGTCCCACCTGCTAAGTGCTCCAGGAGAAATGAGCACAGAGTATTGCAAGTTAGATTTTCTTGAAAATTTTGGGAAGCTTAGGAAGTCTTGCCTTCATTTACCAATTCCCGGGTTCCTTGAATGTTTGCTTCTGCTGCCTCACTCCCCACAATGCACCCTGGCAAAGCTTAATCATCAGGTCACACCCAGAGGCTTTGACGGCTCATCTTTTAGAGGGCACACGACATTCGGAGGTCAAGTGCTCTCAACAGAGGAGGAGGGTTTCCGTGGATGCCCCAGAATCACTTTGTGACAGGCAGGGGTTACCTACTTCACTTGGTCATTTCTTGACCAAGTGACAGTGGCTTTATTTCTAGATTGACAAATGGGGTGGGAACCTTAAAACTGAACAAGTTAGTGTGAGGCCTTCCCTGTCTCCTCTGACATCTTGCAGCCTCTGGTGCATAAACCTTGCTACAGAAGGTCCTGGTCCAGCCAATACTTTGAGAGGCTATTGTTTTCCTTGGTGGGGCTATGCTCTGCCCCTCCACAACATAGAGACCCTGTTTCCTGGTGGGTAATGTTTTCCCTTCCCCATGCCTTGCCTTTCTGGAAATGTGTTCCTATGTCCCTGCTGGCTCGCTTGTTTCTTTGGGCTCACTGCCTTGTTTGGCGGTTTTAACCAAGAGCTCTGATAGATGCCAGGAGGTGAGAGGAAGGGCCTGAATGGATGCAGTCATTGGACAAACAGACTCAGTGATGGATGAGCCTTCTCCCCAGGGAGTTTGGGTCAGGAGCAGTCCAACTGATAAGTTCTTCCAGAACTGAGTAATACAGAAACAATGTCAGGACAACCTTACCTCTTTGTTTGTTTGTTTGTTTGTTTTTTGTATTGATGAAAGAAAAGCTGCAGCACATCTAGCTAAACACAGTGACAGTCACGATAGTCTTGAACATGGACAGCACGAATTGCTTTAGAAATAACACCCGAGGAGGAGCGTGTAAGGAAGGAAGAAGTCTTTCGAAGGCCTCTATTCAAATATTTTCTTTCTTCTAAGTGTTGAAAAAGCACACTATAACCATTTCTTCTTCCAAATGATCTCATAGTTATTTATTGAGGAGAAATACCAAGTTCTTACTATTATTTGATAGCCCTTCTTCTGGCTTGATATGTGTCTGAATCAGTCTCCTTGGGACTAAGGGACACTGGGGCAAAGCTACGTCCTAAGTGTTATGCTGGTGTCACAGCGATTCCTGTGCAGAAGGGGGCCATACAACCTTCTGTATTCCCCCTTCACAGACGTCCTTGAGTCCTTGAGACGGATGTGAGTGGAGTTTTTCAGCCCTCATGCAAAACAACCAACTAAACATAACAGATGACATCAGCTTGGGCTTTTCAATTCCTGGATGGCAGCGGCGTGTTAATCCAGCCTTCATCCTGGATTTCATAAACTAAAACAAGGGAGGCTGGCAGGAGCTCAGCGCTGCCGCTGGGCTGAGGAAATTGATGACGGGGAAGCATGCGGGCAACACAGTGTATAAAACTCATAAACGTGTAGGCAGAAGCTCAGCTACTACTTTGGACGGCTGCTTCCCGCCAGCAAAGACCAAGGCGGCAGGGAGCTGAGCTGGAGCCAGCTGGGAGACATGAAGAGCCTCTTGCTGCTGACCACACTCCTGGTACCTGCGCACCTGGCTATGGCCTGGAGCGCCAAGTATGCGGTGGATTGCCCAGAGCAGTGTGACAACAGTGCGTGCCGAAGCAGCCTGCGTTGCAAGAGGACAGTGCTGGACGACTGCAGCTGCTGTCAGGTGTGTGCTGCGGGACCCGGAGAAACCTGCTACCGCACAGTCTCAGGCATGGATGGCGTCAAGTGTGGTCCGGGGCTGAAGTGTCACTTTTACAGTGAAGAGGATGATTTTGGTGATGAGTTTGGTATCTGCAAAGGTAAAGAATAACTCCTTGCTTCCCACTGTGCAGGGCTCCCTGAGGGCATTTAGTCAGCTTGGGAGGTACTGTCCTCCTCTTTCCTCCTCTGAACCACCTGGGCGGATGCTCAGATGCCGGAGGTGTATTTGGTGGAGAGAGCAGAGTAGCTGCAGAAAGGTTTGGGATGCAGCGTGCCGGAATTACAGCAAGGGCTGCAACATTCCGCTCTGCATGTAGATCCGAGAAAGTTGCAGTGGTAGCTTGTGCCGTTTCCTTTTCTGGAAGCCGTTAGAAACTTGACAGGTAGTCTGTTACAGATGGTTTAGGTGTCCTTTCTTCTCAAGTGGATGATTACAGAGGTCCTCCTGAGATAACCTCTTAGAGTGGTTTCCAGCTCCAGATTTCACCAGCCTTTGATCTTGAAAGAGTTCCCAGGGAGGAGCGCCTCTCTCAAGCTCAAATATTTCTGTTGAACACTAACGTGGGCTTAAGTCAGCCAACGAAATAACACAGGTTCTTGCATAAAATAAACCTAATTTTACTTGAAAAAAAAACTTCAGCTAGCCAGAAAATAGCAGATGTTGTAAGACAAGCAGAAATAATGGAAGTCTAGAAGTTTGTTTTAAAAAAGGGGACTGCTTTATAGATTAAAAAATAAAATGATAATCAAGACAGAAACCATAACTAAATGATTCATTGATGTATCTGTGGAACTTATTTTCAAACTTAGTGAGTATTTGTTGTGAATTAAAAGAAGTGGTTATTGAAATTCTCCCATATATAGATGTCATATAATCTCATCATTACATACTATTGTGATTAAAAGGCAATGCATTCTAGAACTGCACCCAGTTTGTGTAATACAAAGAAGCTGCCCAAATCAGAAAAAGAAGTTCTGAGAATTTTCTGAATAACTCATATTCTATGTGCTCAATACAATTCCATCCTTTAGAAAAATAGTTTATAAACCAACCATCTTTTCATCTGCAAGACCAACAGAAGCCTTAGGAAGAAATTCTAGAAAAAATGTGGAAATTTTTATTCTTTGCTTCTATTAGTTTTGATTAAGACTGACAAGATGGGCTGCTGAGGAAATATTTTGTTTTGGTGAGCATACATATACACATTTCTTTCAAGTGAACAGGCTCTGTATTTTGTGGAAATTACAGTTCTTATCTGCCAAGAAAATAGCGCCTCACATAAGGAAATTAGGGAGGAGGTGCTTAACGCAGTCCTGTCTATGATATAGCTAGTGTAGGTGGGGAACTGCTTTTCCTTGGCATAAAAACACCATTGTAAATGTGGTTATGAACGGACAGTGACATGGGGTAAAGAATCCAGCTGAGGTTAGTGAACTATGCCTGCCATTAACAAACTATTTTGAGTTCCTCTTTCTGGCATCCTCTGAATTGTTGGTGAGTTCAGTTTCCAACTGTTTTTTTTTTTCCCCCTGATGCTGGGCATAATAGAGTGTGTGGGTTGTTCTCCATTTCAGCAGGTGAATTCCAGATTCTTTGTTTGCTTGTTTAGCATTTAGATGTTTGACCCCACATCTCTGCCTATCTATTGGGAAGTCAGTGTTTATTTATAGAATGTTTACTATCTGATCAGCACACAGCACATTGGGAGCCACCCTGGACCTGGAATTGGGAAGTGGGTTAAGGTTTTCATTTTCAGTATTGCTGAAGACAGTCACATTCTTACCCTGTGCTTTTTCTGTCAGAAGGGTTTTCCAGGTCTTTCTTAGGGGCTTTTCTTCCCAGGCTAAGGAGGTTGTATATAGCAGCAGAGTCCTCTGTGCTTTGAGTGACGGGGAAAGAGCAGTACTTCCTGTTTCAAGACCTACTTGATGCACATTCGTCTTCATCCAAGACACTGCTGGGTGGCTAAACACTCAGTGCCTCACAGCGTGTCTGTACTCTTGTGTGGCTGTACATTAGCAAGGACACCTCCATGCCGGAAGAACGCAGTTGTACCAGTGGTTCATTCCCAACCTTCCTAATGCCTGGATGCTTTACCGTAATTCCTCATGTTGTGGTGACCCCCAATGTAAAAGTATGTTCGTTGCTACTTCATAACTGTAGTTTTGCTACTGTTATGCATCTTAATGTGAATATTTTTGGAAATAGAGGTTTGCCAAAGGGGTCGTGACCCACAGGTTGAGAACCAGTGTTGTAAATGGACGGATGTTGCTGAGTTAACCTCTTGAGGCACTGTTATGCCACAAGCCCTGTTTTTTTTAATGTGACAGACATCTTTATTTTGTTGCAGCATTTCTCAGTCTTAGTATTAGACACTGAAGCTCTGAAAGCTTCCCGTTCTTGGTGGGTGTGCAAGCCCTCAGGCGTGTAAACCGAGCTTTCTTGCTCACTTAGCGTCTTATCTTTTCAGGGAGCTTGATTAGTGAATCCTCTTAACAGCTAGGGGAGCTGGTGAAGGCCTAGAGCTGTCCTGAGAGATAAGGGATCCTGTAAGTGTGGGAGCAGGCTGGGGACTGGTTATCTCACAGTCAGGTGCCGTGTTAGCCCCATAAAACAGAAAACTGTCAATTACTGTAGATTAAAGACACACTCACACCTATCAAACTATTTGAGGAGGAAGGAGGTAATGCTTATGTCTCCTTAATTTCCCATCTTCACTGAGTTGTGACCAAGATAACCTGTGAGAATCTGTGTTATCTACCCAGAAAGCAAACAGAATTAAGGGTGTGGTTGGCAAGAAGCCTGAGCGGGTACAGGCACCTGCTGCCAATCATGAAAACCCAAGTATGAGCCTCACGGCCCACAGTGGAAGGAGAGAACCAGCTCAACAAGTTGTGCTCTGACTTCCACACATGTGCCGCACGCACATACACACACATGCATGAATACATGTGAACACACATGAACATACATGTGTACACACAGACATGCATCTGCACACTAACACACAAACACATGAACATGAAAGCACACATACACACATGCATGTTCACATGCCTGCACACACTCTGAATAAATAAACAAGAAAGAAAGAGAGGAAGTGTTTTAAAAGTCTAGCATAATGAGATTGATTATGTGTAGCTAATTTAGGTTTCACTTCAGGAGTTTAAGCCAGAGGCAGGTGTTATCTGGTCTTACTGTGTGGTTTCACATTTATGACCTCAACTTTCAAACCCTGGAACTTTTGAGAAGTGATATTTCATTTATCAAAGTCCAGGAGATTGAATCAAATCCTAAGGCTATCATCCAGGATTGGGTGGAGGGGATCCCTATGCTTAACAAGCAATGGCCTCTCTAAATCCCCACTCTGCCCCCAGACTGTCCCTATGGCACTTTCGGGATGGAATGCAAAGAGACTTGCAACTGCCAGTCTGGCATATGCGACAGGGTGACTGGGAGATGTCTGGAATTTCCCTTCTTCCAGTATGCAGCAGCCAAGCCGCCCAGCAGGACCGCTGCCTCTCACACAGGTAAGTGGTGACCTTGGTCTCAGTTTGAATCGATGTGAAAACCAGTGGAACATTGTGTCTATCTGAATGAACTTGTTTCTTTTCCTCAGGGAGAAAGATGGGTGGGCGTTGAGTTTGGTGGCTGTTGCTATTTTCAAGACAAATCTCATTGATAACTGGGAGGTTACTATGGTTTCTCATAAAGTTTACTACATTTTAATGAATTAATGAAGACAAATCTGCCATAAAAGCAACCAACCAAGATGTGCAAAGTTCTTGGAACTCTTTAGCGATGTTTTTATAGACTTGCTAGACAAAATGATTTCTCTCCCAACTCCGCACAGAAAGAGAGCGGTGAAGTAGTTGTTGGATCAGCTTTAAGAGCTACAAGAAAAAAATTTAGACTACTTCTCCTTCTTACCCTTCTCTCTCTACCTTCCCTCCTCCTTCATCAAATGGAAGCAATAAAATGGAATAATTGTGTTTTCACGGATTTTGGAGCTGGTAAGAATTAGTCCCTGTGGTGATATCCAGAGAATAATAGAACTGGAGCAAAGCTTACATACATGCTGCTGACGGATCCGAGCTGTGCAGCTGTGAGCTGTGCACAACTGTAAGATGGTTCCGTGCATGCATTGGCTTCTCTTGTTGATAAACGGCCAAGCATGTAGAACTCTGTTAAGGTAAAAGTAGTTCATTTAACATGACTGTACCAAATGAAATCGTTATGTAAAATAGTATGTGTCATTAGAGTTTATTCTTCCAGTGAAAGGAATGGTAATGATAATGTGTTAGATTTAAAATATGAACATTCTAAGTATGTGAGGTGATAGATATGTTAATTCTATTAATTTAATCACTTCACAATCAAATTATATCCATGCTCAAAAGTTAATTAAAACCTCTGCACTCTTGGGGATGGAAAGATGGCTCAGTGGTGAGCAAACTGTGTTGCTCTTCCAGAGGTCCTAAGTTGGGTCCCCAGCACTCATATCAGGCAGCTCACAACCACCTGTCACTTCAGCTCCAGAGCAATCTCTTGTTTCTGAAGGCAAAATACTCGAACAACCTTCCATCCATAGCTAAATAAAATGAAAAAGCAAGGTTCATGCCTATACAGAGTTGTGAGAGGTCATTTGGAGAAAAAGAAAAAAAAAACTTCACTCTTAAGCCCTCAAGATTTAGTTAATCACTACAGCTGCTCATTAATATCAATGAACAATACCTCCTCCAGATAGAAAATAGTCACTGAAATCAATTTGGTTTAGGTTGTATTTCTGGCCCTTTGCCCTTGAAATTAACTAAAGTGTGAAATTCAGCAAGTGTGCTTATTTCTTCTGTTACCATCTTCAGATATTGTGCTTTTAAGTCAATTGGTAATTTTAAGTATGACTCTGGTCTTAATTTTAAATCTTAACTTACTAGATGAATATCTTTGTGGACAATTAATCTGGAGGCTGAGGTAACAGATTAAATCATGTGATTTATCTTTGTAATCTTTGACAAAACAAAAAGTTTGGGCTTAAGACTTGAATAGTTGTTCATGTGATTGTCATATAACACTTGAAAACAAATCCAGAACCTTTTGATTAGCCCAGTACTTACTGGTTTCCCTCTTTCTCATGTTCTCCCTGTACCTGGAAACGATCAATGGAGACCACTAAGCCATCTCTCGGATCTGGAAATTCTTCGAAGGAGCTGTTTACAGAACAGATTTGAGATCTAGTGTTTCAGTTTACCTAGCTACCTCAAACATTTTTAGCTTCTTTTATCTTTTCTTTTTCTTTTTAAAAATTAAGTCAGATACTGAATTCTTGGCTACTATATAGAAGTTTTGTAAGGATACCCTATTACTGGATGGTCATTATATGTTAAGTTACACACAAAAAATATTTCTAATCAAAACTAGGTATGGAGATTCCAACTAGAAATGTAAAAGAAAATCAGTTAGTTTTCTTTCTTTTTGGCTTGGTGATATTAAGAAAGACTTTTACCCATGTAATCTTTGTCAACCTCAGGTTCAAGAGGGGATGAAGAATGTCTGAAAAGTACAGTTAGGCTGCCCTGTTTGGGTGTACCTTGTTTACGTGGGATTTGCCATTCTCTGTGCTAGAGTCCTTATGGAAAAACATGGCTCCTCAGTTTCTCCATAGGCTTCACATCACAAATCCATTGGAGGCCGCCCTTTGAGAACAGACGGATTGTCTTGAGTCCACCATAGGTTTTCCAATTACATGGGGCCTTCTTCAACTTGCTACCTGATGAGGGCAGGTGGGCCTCCTGATCCTATCTGCCCGAGTTTTACATTTTTATTCCTTTTTGGCAGTCAGTGTCCAAGAGCAGAAATTAATGCGTCCCAGTTTTTAATGAGCTGGATGAGGCATAAGAATGTTGTATACCCATTTGTCCGCAGAGCCACACTAATCTTTCACCATTCTATTCCAGGACGTGCGCTGTGGATACAATCATGTCTCACTCCTCTTAGAAGCAGAATATTTCCCTTTGGAAAACTCTAAATATTATAAACATTTCTTGTATGAAGAGCAGGAAGGATAACTGCCTTCTGGAGTTATACAAAAAAACTGAATTCATTTTTATGTCAGTGAACATAAAAATCTTTTTTCTTATATATTCTTTAAAAAATTTAATTTATTTTTACATTCAAATCCCAGTTCTCCCTCCCTCCTCTCCCACTCCCCCCTCCCACCTCCATCTGCTCCATAGAGAGGGAAAGGCCTCCCCTAGGAAGTCTACTAAGTCTGTCCCATAATCTCTTTGAGGCAGGACCAAGGCACCTCTCCACTCCCACATCCTGTGTCTAGGCTGGGCAAGGTATTCACATAGAATGGGTTCCACTAAGTCAGTTTGTGCATTAGTGTTAGATCTTGGACCCACTCCTAGTGGCCTCACATATTGTCTCAGTCACATAAAAATCTTTTAAAGAGATTAATTTGTGCAGTATTTGGTCATTCACTGGATACGTATTAAACATCTATCATATTCCAAGCATTGCTGTCCATGCTGGAGATACAGGCAAGCAAGGGAAAGAAACAGCAAATGAAAGAAAGTCCTGCTTTTATTAAGCTGGAATTCTAGGAATAGAGTGAGATAATGTCAGTAAGAGGAGAGCTATATGTATGCCATTTCTCTCATATATAGAGAGAGAAATGTTGCAAGGGGTGTTGTCGTCACTGAAAGAGCAGTTCAGAGTTGCTTAGTAGAGTCAGCAGAGAGTTTTGAACATTAAAACACAAAACCAAAATAAAACAAACCCGTGCTTGGCCTTGGACTTACAGATGTTTGGGCATGATGCATGTGTCTTCTATTTTCAGAGCGTGATGCGGCATCTGGAGATGGCAATGCTGTGAGAGAGGAGATTGCTGAAGGGAACGTCGCTCGTCCCTCTGTAATGAAATGGTTAAACCCACGCTGATCCTGGCTGAGCCAAGAGAAGGCTCCACTTTAGTGACCAACACTCAGCCAACACCTTCAGAGTTGTCTAGAGCAGAGACTATGGATATGTGCTTTATGGAGACCAAGAGTGATTCAGAGAGGATCCAGAAAAAAATGTAGGCGATATACAACCCCAAAAACAATATGACTGAACACTTTTAGATATATGTTAAATATTTAAATGCATATAGATCTGTTAAATGTGTGTGTGAGTGTGTGGGAGACATCACCAGGGAGCTAAGCATTCAATTGAGATGGTCTTATGGTTAATGAATAATCTGATCAAAGCTGGAGAAACCGTGGGCCCTTAGAGTTGGGTGTACTTTCTTTTTGGGATACAGGTTGAAGAAAGGGGAGCGAGAGAGGATGGGGTGGTGGCGAAAGTAGGGGGTTATATCACTTGGCTCTTCCTTGTGGTAGCTTAAAATGTATTATTTTGTTTTAATTTGGAGAAACAAGACCAGAAAAGCCTTGAAGGAAGCTGGTGGGAGTATGAGCAGCTGTCATGAATGGAAATGCTATTATTACAGCTACCTGCACCTGATGGGGGTGGGGGGTGAGGGTGGGGGGGGGTTGGACAGAGGATAAATATATACTCCTACTACTGGGTTAAGCACTGTGGGTCCTGAGAGATCTAGGAAGCAGTTTGCCCCCTGGGGCATAGAACAGGGTGAAGGTGAATATTTATGTATTTTTATAAACAAATCTGTCAGTTTAAATATTTCTCCGATACCCATATTTCTCCTGTACATTAGAGAAATTACCCTAATGTTGTTTGTTTAAAATGATTAGGGGGAAAAAGCATATAACATATATGGCTCTCAAACACCCATATATGGAAAAACTTGTTACTAATGATTTAATTAATATTAATAAACATGTAGTTAATATAGGCTTATAAAATGTTAAAAAATGAAAACTAATGCTACATCTTGGGTGAAATTTAAATCAGAAAATAACCTTTTTAGATGGTTTTGGAAAGGAGAGTTAGTTTTCATAAGGGAACATGTTAACTTTAAGATATTATTTTCATTTTTTATTCTTTCAAACTTAGTAGATGAATGAAACTGGGATTACACATGGGGGGGTCTTAGCACAAAAAGGACTGTTGTACTAGTCGATGCTGGGAAATATTTCAAAAGTATTTTATTTGCAGTGAAGATCTTATTTAAGACTTATTTCATTATTTACTTATATTTTATTCTCGAAGTTTGCCAACAGAGTTGTGAATGTATTGAAGATCCTTGAATGTAAGCAGAATCAGCTGTTAGGGTTTTTTGTTTGTTGAAGAACAACTTGTTATTGTTAAATAAACATGGCACAGCTGTTCAATATCAACTGGTTTCCTTTGAAATTGTATTCAGCCAATATGGGAGCTAATTCACATTAGAGGACAAGCCCTTCAATTGAATTTTATGCTACAGGTTCCTTTCTCCTGCCAACTTGGGGCGTAGAACATTTCTGTCTCCTGAAATGCGGGTCCATATACATGCATCCGTTTTGCCGAGTTTTATTTACTTCTTCTTTTCCTCCTCCTTCTTTCTTCTTTCTGTTTCTATCTTTGTCTCTGTTTCTGTCTCTCTTTCTAAACCACATTTTGGCATGTTAAGTGTAGAGTTAAGGCTTGGGACAGTAGTAGCTGGGTTGCTGAGTGGTGGCTCTCTCGCTGTCACTCAGACCGAACTCAGAATGTGTCCTGTTTTACTTTTTGTTCCTTCTTTGAAGTTAGAAAATTTTTCACGAAACAGCCACTATTCCCGATTCCAGGTTCTGAGAGGAAATGCCTAATACCTGTCTCACTTGGTTGCTAACTGCCTGGAGGTTATAGACCTTTGAATACCAACTTCTCTCAATTCATTCATCTTCTTGCATTCTTACTCATAATCAAAGTTAGCATTTTACTTTTATCTATTTCCTAACATTTTTGAAAGTAGACATACCTTTTAAAATGAGGAAAACGGCAGATCTTTCGTACCCCTGGAAGAAGAGAGAAACCCCCACTTTGAAGTGTGCATGAACCACACCCCAGAATGACAGCTGTAACTCAGCCTTGTGGACAAGTTACAGAAGTTCTTGAAGTGAACGGATACAATAGTAGGGAAATAACATCTGTATATATTTTTTAAAAATCCAGTTTATTTGAGTTTGTTTTAAGTAGTAGAAACTAGGTGTGAGTTAGATACAAAGTTATATTTTAAAAGGGTATTTATATTCTTACTAAGTTTAAATTAAAAAAAACACTGAAAATCTATACTATCACCTATGTCAAAAAAGATTCATGGTATCCTCCGAGGGAGTAAAGTGGCTCAGGTTGCTTTTGGCCTGACGTCCAAGGCTCCAGTTCAGTTCTCTTGGAGGTGTGGACAGTGGGTTAGTCAAACTGTGCAGAACTGGCCTTTGTTTCTGCGTTTGCAGTAGCCTTCGGGGTGACCATAGAAAATAAAATCAAATAAGAGTGGACTTGTCAGCTGGCTGTGATGGCTCATGCCTTTAATCCCTGCACTTAGGAGGCAGAGGAAGGTGGATCTCTGTGAGTTTGAGGCCAGCCTGGTCTACAAAGTGAGTTCCAGGAGAGACAGGACTGTTAGAGAAAAACCATGTCTTAGGAAAAACAAGAAAAAACAAAAAACCAAACAACAACATCAAAAAGAGTGGACTTGTCAACTCTAACTTCAGCATGCTTTCTAAGGTCCCAGAGCCATGGCCCTTACCCCATATTCTAGAATCACCTATCCTAAGTGGCTCTGCAGTCTTTTGTCTAATTCTGGATGTTGGAGGTCTCTGAAATCATTGGATTCTCCAGGGCTCTGATTGCATATGCTTTTGTTGCAAGTTTTAAGCATACAGCTTTATAACTATATACACACACCATAATGTTACTATATTACATTTATTCATAATAAAATATGCGCTCAGAGTAGAATTTTTTTAGAAGAATGAGATTAGAAATTAAATAGTGTTTCTGAGATTTTTCTGACTACATTCCAATAGGCCATTCTTAGATGCACTAGGGAAAAAAGAAAACGACATAGGTCAGTGGTGTCTGGTAAGAGAAAAATTAATCTGTTAAAAATATGTATCTCTGCAATGGATAGATGAACAAACAGATGAATAAATGATAGGTGTGGAGAGATATGGACGGATAGATGGACAAATGGAAGCCTGGAAGGATGGGTTAGGTGGAGGGGTGACTTCATGGGTAGATGGATGGATTCGAGAATCAAATAAGGGTTTTCTGTTTCTACCAGGGCAGTTCTTAAGACCCCATCCGTTAGTGCCAGGCCTCCTGAAACTCTCCAATCTGCCTATCGGTGTACAATGTGATTGCAAAAACTGGAAAACTAGAAGCCTAAAAAACAGAAATGTTGATGAATCGGACATGTATGGTTTCTGTGATAACACAGATGAAAACACACACACACACAGAGATTGAGAGAGAGAGAGAGAGAGAGAGAGAGAGAGAGAGAGAGAGAGAGAGAGAGAGAGAGAGAGAGAGAGAGAGAGAGAACATCACTAGGCAAGCAATAGTTTCAGGACAGCTCTGATGGTAGCCCAGCCTGACTGTCATCTCTGTTAAGAGGCGCTTTGGAAGGACTCTTCTGCTTCTGCCCTGCTTTATTCGTCCTTTTCGAGGGTCTACAGAGGCAGAGGGTCCACAGAGGCAGAGGGTCCACAGAGGCAGAGGGTCCACAGAGGCAATGTGGCAGCATACGGCTTCTTCCTTTTCAGTTATGCTACTTACCTAACACCTCACTTTAAAAGTAATGGCTCTCAAATGCTAGTGTCTCTACAACTTTCTGGAACCTTCAGTAGACCACATGTTGCTGACTCACTAGGTTTTGAGGTGGGGCCCAAGAATGTTCCATTTGAATCAGTCCCGTGTAAAATTCAAGATTCTAGAAACCATACTTCGAGAATGACCGACACAGGAGCATTTAGATATCTAGAAATAAAATAAGCTATAACTCAAGCCAGCCATGGTTAGTCTCACAAAAAACTGGTGGCTGCATTTTCTAAGCAGTTTGTATACTTCCGTTTTGTTTTGTTTCATTTTCAAGGCAGGGTCTCACTACGTAGCTCTGGCCATCCTGGACCCAGACTCACAGAGATCCTCCGGCCCTCTGTCTCCCAAGTGCTTGGACTAAAGCTGTGAGCCACTATACCTGGCAAGGTATACCTAATATTAAAACATGTTTTGTTTGTTTTGCACCAAATCTGAGGCAGGAAGATGTCAAGTTTGAGGCACTGTCTCAAAAGTAAACAAGCAATTAAAAAAATCCCCGGGGACTTTGTAAGGACAGGTAGGAGAACATAAAAGGAGAATGGAGGCGGAAGACAGGGATACTCAGGAAGGTATAAGATGATGTATTCTTACAGAATGGACGACATTGAAGAACGGCCAGTCATGTTACGTGTCACCCAGAGACACAGCTGAGCTGAAATGTCTCGGGTGTTCATGGAGGGGAGGGCACGGAAGCCTGTCTGAATGGTGTGAAACCCATGTGACAGGTGAGCACTTTTTCCAGAGGGCTCTCTGGGAAGGGCAGAAGGCAATAGGCCTACAACAGGATGGAAATCTTACTTGCCAATGTTTGTTTCTTTCTGTCACACCCACTCAGCAACAGAGAGCTGACAGTGTATGTGTGGGATTAGTGATGAGAAATGATGATAAAGATAGATGCTGGCTTCTGTGCGAGCTCTGCACCCAGGAGACCCGAGCGTGGTGATTTCAGTGAGATGAGTCCGTGGAATCCGCCGAAGAGCACTGCTGTTGAGCCGAGTGTGGTGGTGCGCAGCCGTGATCGTGGCACACGGAAGGCTAAGTCAGGAGGGTTGTCACGAGTCTGAGGCCAGTGTGGGCTGCATAGTAAGACTTTATCTCAAACAAGCAAGTGTGCAGGCAAGCAAATAAACACAAAACAAGAAGCCAAGAGTACTGTTATTACGTATTTGTTACCATGCCATATTTAATGTTTTTGCAAAAATGTATACATGGATCAATCAAGAGATCAACAATGTTTATTTTATTCTTTGTATCTTTATGTATTTTCTAAGATAAATTCTAGAGGTAGTTTTTTTTTAAGTTGGGAAAAAGAATAAGGCAATCTCTGCTTTTGATTATTAAGAATATGATCCTTCAAGATTTGAGATGTATTTTATCACCTGGGCACTCAGTTGTAAAAACAGAGCTTCAATCCGAGTGGATGGAGAAGTTCGCAGGCACTGTAGCTCTCTGCGGAGCAGATGCTGTCTTACCACAAGCAAGCTTGGCAACCCACTGAAAACACAAATTAAGGTCTTTGGAGCAAAGTGCATTTTTAAAATGACAGTTCACATTCTTCTCCTATGCTATCTGCTTCAAGCAGGTGGCTCAGGTCACCAGGGTTTTAAAAACCATTTCCTGACACCTGTGGGGTTGGTAACTATTTCCTGTTTTTGTTGTGTCTAGAGAAAACAGGAACTAACAACTTGGAAGTGCTCATCAAACTCTCATTGTGGACGACCCCTCCATGGGCAGTTGTCAGTGTGGGACACTCAATTTCTTAAAA